GTGTGGAGCTCAATTGATTTTCTTTCAAACTTTCCAGTCTCTTTATACTTGGATATTTATTAACTTCTTAGCAGATAGGAGTAGTCTAGATATGATCTCAAGTTTGCTCCTATTAGCAAGGAGATCATTACTTATTAATTGTTCAAACCTATCAGAACAAATATGATACCTCGTCCAAGATTGTTCAAACCTCTCAAAACAAATATAATACCTCCCTCTCAAAACATATGTAATACCTCGTCGAAGATTAAAATGATCAGTGTGCATGATACATGTTATAGATCTTATAATATTGTTTTTTCTTTGCTATGGCTACACTTAATCAGAACAAAGTACTTGGGGCACTACTTTTTGTATTTTGCCCAGGGCCTATTAATGTTCAGGACCGGATCTGGGTCCGGTTTTAACTGAAAAAACCGTCAATACGGACCGCGGATCGGTTAAATGGTTGGTTAAAAAAACCTTAAAAAATCGGGTGGTTAATTTTCTTAAAAATCGGGAATAACCGGTTCGGTTAACGGATTACCTGCTACAAACCGCCGGTTTAACCGGACCGGACCGGTAAATATTAAAAAACTATAACAAATATATATATATATATATATATATTCAGTCATTCACTAAGCCGACAAATACAATACAAACAAACATTTTCACTTTTTCGCCTTTTGTAGACTTAATTTTGTAAGACACTATAATTTTTCACCCTTTTCCACCTTCATTTTTTCATAATTTAATCTTCATCATTTTTGTATTTCATGTTTATGGTATGCTGGTATCGGTTTGGTAACCGAACCGAAACCATCAAACCAATACCGAACCGAACACTATCGGTTTCACTACTTTGCAAACCGAAACCGAACCGATAAACATTCAGTAACCGAAAAGTCGGTTACCGATAAAACGGTTCGGTTTCGGTTTAAACCAATAAAAACCGAAAAAACCGAAAAAAAAAAATAACAGTAGCAGGCAGCCACCAGAAACTAACAGAGGCCATAAAAAAACCAAAAAAAAATAAAAATAAATAAAAGTAGCAGGCAGCATCAGCAACCAGAAATGTAAATAAACATGAATTGTAAAATGAACTCATCAGCAGAGGCATAAATATATAACAATGAACATGAATTGTAACAGAGGCTATTAACATTTAACATGAATTATGTGTAAAATGAATTCTATTAGCAGAGGCATTTAATAACATTTTACATTTAACAGATGTTATTTATTAACATTTAACACTTAACAGAGGCTATGAACATGAATTCTGTGTAAAAGCAAATTGCTTTGAAGTTCAAGATAACAGAAAGCAAATTCTGTAATCAATGACTACAAAATTGATAAAAATGTTAAATCAACCTAACTTCCACTAGATAAAATATGTCAAAAAAGTACCCCCCCAAAAAAAAAAAAATAAATAAATAAATAAATAAATCCTACCTTGCAAAGTATCACAACAGCAAGACAAAAACTTGTAGAAATCAAATTTAAGGTTAAAGATAATTACCTGGGGCACAGCACAGCTGAAGTCGCGGCGAAGGTGAGTTGCTGAAGCCGTGAAGGTGTGTCGGTGAAGGAGGCGATCTGAATTCTGAAGTGAGGGTGAGGTGAGCGACTAATGAACGATTGACGGATTGAACTCACAGGTGAAGGTGAGGCAATCTGAAGGTGAAGCCGTTAAGGTGTGAAAGGCAGAATGGGTCGAGGTGAAGGAGGCGATGCTGAATTTCTTGTGAAGGAGACGATTGAAATTGAACGGGTTCAGGCCCAACCCTATGTTAATAACTTAATATTATCCACCCTATATATATATATATATATATATATATATACATATATTGTTATCGGTTCGGTTCGCGTTCGGTAAAATCGAACCTTTATGAGTTGATGTTTCTTTCTCTCAATTACATCGACCCTAACCTGCTAGCTGTTCAACTCCTTTATGGAAACTGATGTGACCACTTGCGTATGATTCTACCTTACGCTTGAACCGCCGAATCGGAAAAATTGGGTGCTATCATATAGCTTTGTATAGGCTAAGTCCATCAGTTGGAGATAAGCGGACTCGAATCACTGGTTGCGATAAAACTATGTTATCCACATCAAATAATGGTGTCGTGTTCGAAAACAGGTCTTTCCGGAGACGTTGATTATTTTTTACTTTTTTCCCCATTTCCTTGACTTATTTAAACGTATAAAATTTTACTTCAAAACGTGATACTGACATAAAACAATCTTTTTCCATCTTGTCTATAACATTATCGAAGGATAGACCCGTGTTTTGTGCATATAAGGATATAATCTCTATAAATAGACGGAAATACACAATGATGACTCGCCCCTTTTCAAACCTTGGTAGACAAACGCCGTGATTCAATACTATATCTATATAGAGAACAACTATCAGAACTAGTTGGGCAGGTTCTTACGCGTTACTCATCCGCTCGCCACTGGAAACACCACTTCCCGTCCGACTTGCATGTGTTAAGCATGCCGCCAGCGACTTGGGAGCTGGTCTTTCTTCTTACCCTTTAGCTATTCTATTCTTCCCATCGATCGAATATGGCATACCGAACCGATAACATTCGGTAACCGAAAATCGGTTACCGATACACATGATTCGGTTCGGTTCAGTTTATTTTCACATCGGTTCGGTTCAGTTCGGTTTTTGGTTTTTAAAAAATACCAGTCCTAGTTTATGAGACGAAATATGTATTTTTATGCTTATGAGACGAATTGCGTATTTTTTATTTCATTATTGTTGTTTTTCTTAATTTTTAAGCCCAAATAATCTCTTTTGGGCCCAAAATTGAAAAATAAAAATTAAACCCAAAATGAAAAAAGACTCAAAACAAGGATTTTGGATTTAACCGGTTAACCGCCAAACCAGACCGTCTAATGCGGTCCGGATTGTGGCCGGTTTCAAAATAAAATTGTTTTGGTTATGGACAAGAAAAAAAATAACCCTTAGGTCCCATTTGGTCATAGTTTGAGCGAAAACCGGACAAATCCGGACCGTGACACCCCTAATGGCACCTATTCCAAAAAATCCAATGTCACATTTATAAAATGTAGAAGTCTAAAAAGACAGTCTAGACATCTTTTATTTTATATTATATTATTTATTTTATTATTTTTTTACTAACTAATTATTATTTTACATGTGTCAAAATATCCTACAATTAACATTAATTATTGGAGACAAAAAAAATATAAAAATTACTCTTTCTCCACACCATTCATCTTAAAATAGACATTC